GGTATGGCAGAGCAGCCTAAAAAGCACTGAATGAAATGCAAATGGTGCTCTGGCTGTGAGACTATCTCCCAAGTGCAGCAAATGGTGAGTTGTGCCCAGCCTGCAGCCAGCCTTCTGTCTCTAATTCTGTTAGGTCTGATGGCTATGAGTTGGTTGTGCATGTGAGATCCTCTATCCACTGGAGCAACCGTGACTTCAACGTGGGGAAAATGGACTAGGAGTTCATGGGCAGAGCAGGGAGAGGCTCTAAGGATGAGAAGGATTCCAGTCAGCTGACTCAGGGAGTAAGTCCCAAGGGGTCCCTTGAGATAGAGAGGAGAGGACTGGGGAAAGACTCAGCAAAGGTGTTTTTTTGCGGGGGGGGTTTCCCTCCCTGAGAAATTTGAGTCCATGGGCAGCAAGGTTGTATCCACTTTTCAGATTCAACCTTTAAAAAAATCCTGAGAGCAAGCCTCTGAGCAACTTTCTCCCCTCAATATCCTCCCCTGAGGTCACAGTTCCCTACATGCCTCTTTTGTGGAGGTAATCAGGGATGAACAGACTAAGGCAGAGAAGGACAAGCCCATCAATAGAAAGGATCTTAGGTTCAATAGGATCCAGGAACCAAAAGTCCCAATTACTGAGGGTATGTCTACATTACGAAATTAGGTCGAATTTATAGAAGTCGGTTTTTTAGAAATCGAGTGTGTGTGTCCCCACAGAAAATGCTTTAAGTGCATTAACTCGGTGGAGTGCTTCCACAGTACGGAGGCAAGCGTCGACTTCCGGAGTGTTGCACTGTGGGTAGCTATCCCACAGTTCCCGCAGTTTCCGGAAATGAGATTCAAAAGTTCACGGTTCTTTTTCTGTCTACCTGGCCAGTGCATCTGAGTTGAGAGTGCTGTCCAGAGCGGTCACAATGGAGCACTCTGGGATAGCTCCCGGAGGCCAATACCGTCGAATTGTGTCCACAGTACCCCAAATTCGACCCGGCAAGGCCGATTTAAGCGCTAATCCACTTGTCAGGGGTGGAGTAAGGAAATCGATTTTAAGAGCCCTTTAAGTTGAAAAAAAGGGCTTCATCGTGTGGACGGGTGCAGGTTTACATCGATTTAACGCTGCTAAATTCGACCTAAAGTCCTAGTGTAGACCAGGGCTGAGATACTAAAGGTTGATGCTGCCATAGCGTTCCTGGCTTAACAATATGGTTGTCCCCTCAGAAAAGGCGTTCTATCCTAAGGGCCCTACAGAAATCAAAATGAGGCCACTTTCAAAAAAGACTTTGAGGTCTCCTTCACCTCCCTCAGGGCATCCCTAGCAGCTGCTTGCGTTGTGAGAGTCGTTCGGCTGGAAGATCTCAGAGCATTCTGGGCAAAAAGAACACACTGACTTTGGGGCTATTTTAAAGGAGTTTCCCTGCTGACACCACAGCGGACGTGATGAGATTCTTCTTCGAGGTGTGTCCCTGTGGGTGCTCCACTTTAGGTGTCTTGGCGCCCTGCACTTCTAATCAGAGATTTGTAGTAGCAGTGTGCCAGTTGGCCATGCACCTGTGGCAGCTGCCTCACGCCGCTCCGAGCGGCTACCCCACGTGCGCAGCCAACCGCCCCCGGTTCCTTTTCTACCATCCTTGGCTTCGGTCGGAACAGCAGCAGCACTCCCACCAGTTTTAGCGGTTTCTATTCGTGTAGTGTGTTTTCCCAACTGTTACCCTTTCTTATTAATTTCTCCCTAAAATTTGTTTTGTTTTGTTTTTAAGAGGAGTAAAGAGATATTCTTTCCCTTTCCCCCCACCTCAGGCAGGCAGTCGCCTACTAAAAGAGTTATTAGAACGGGACTATGCCCCTTTCTTTCTCCAGCACAGCCTCTCAGACATGCCTGGCTCTGCAGGTTTTAAATGCTGACTTGCAGACTTTCCCTACCTGTCTCAGACAGCCACACACAGTGCGTGAGTTGTCTGGGGGAGACCCATATAACTCAAGTGTCTCCACTGCAAAAAGCTTACAGTGAGGACAAAGAAGGCTAGGGATCTCCAATTTAAACTTCTTATGATGAAGAAATCCCTCAGACCAGCCTTTGACCCCGAGTCAGACTGGGGATCCTCCTCAAAAACAGGTACAAAGGACCCCATTCCTAAAAAAGCCATGAGAAAGTGGTCTCAATCTTCACCACAGTGAGATTTGCCTCAAAAAAAGCGATCTCCAACTGCGGAAACTGCCCCGGGACCGATGGCACCGAGAGCGCCGGGCACTGTCGGTACCGAGACATCCCGAGGAGCTAAAGACCCCGTGCGGTCTAGCTCAGTGGTTCTCAAGCTTTTTTTTTTCCATAGACCACTTGAAAATTGCTGAGGGTCGTGGCGGACCACTTAATGATCTTTCCAAATATTGTTTGTACCGTTAGCTAACTATTGTAAAGAGCTTTGGATAAAAGCGCTATATAAAGAAAAGTAATAATAATTAACCTTTTTTTGTTCTACAAATAAAAGCACACAACTCATATTTTAATATCAGTAGTCTCACCTTTCTAATGTGATGGATGTGCCCTGTCTCCCCCACCGCAGCAGCCCCCGAGCTGGGGCTGGGAAGGAGGGGGGGGTCTCTTCCCCTCCCACCCCCACAGCCGCTACAGAGCTGAGGCTGGGAAGGAGAACCGTCTCTCCTGGGCAGCCACAGCCCTGGAGCTGGGGAAGGGTGCCTCTTTCTCTGGCCACCACAGTTCTGCATGTCCCAAATTCCCCCCACCCTCTCTTCTGCCCCCTCCCACCTACTCCCTATTCCCCCCAAGGCCACCACCTCACCTCACATGTGCATCTCCTCCAGGGTCCAGGCACCTAATTTGTGGAGCCGCGCCTGCACGGCTCCACTAATTAGGTGGGTGGCCACCCAGGTGCGCACCTTAGAGGGAACTATCTGCGGACCACAGTTTGAGAACCTCTGGTCTAGCTCTCACGGAGGCACACGCAACAAAACTCAGCCGCCTCCTTTGGCGCCGGCGGAACCTAAGAAACACCAGGCACTGAGCAGCGCAATAGTGCTACCTGCTACACCAATACAACGTAGCAAGCCTGCGGTGCCAGGATTACTACCACTGATTCCCAGCCAGAGCGTGCCTCTGCCACCGAGTCTTCCGGTGCCTCAACAATTCCTCAGTCAGGTGGACCTCCTCGTTTTCCTCCACTCCAGGGACTCTGCTTTTCAGCACCGATGGCACCCCAGCCAGACCGGGACCAAGCCTGACAGCTATGCCCACTGGTTCAGCCCCTCCTCTCTCCAGCGAGGAGAAGGATGTACACCTCATGCTATTCCTAACCCAAACCTGGACCCTCACGGCACTAAACACCCGTCAGTATGAGGGACTGGCAAGCTCCACAATGGGTGCCACCCCCATGGCACTCCCACCCAACTGGACATATTGGGACCCATGGGCATTATACAGGGCACAGAACATCAGGCCCCTCAATCCTGATAGAGCCGGAAGTACAACAGCTCCTCCATTTAGGTGCCGTGAAACCCATGCCAGTTCAGCACAGGGGCAGAGGTTTCTATACCCACTATTTCCTCACCCAGAAGAAATCAGGCAGATAGAGGCCCATTCTCGACTTGCGAAAACCGAACAAGTTTGTAAAAACACAATGCTTCAAGATGGTGACTCTTCAACTATAATTCCAGCATTGGAGAAAGGAGATTGGCTCTCGACTCTCGATGCTTACTTTCATGTTATGATCCACCCAGCACACAGACGATCCCTACGATTCACTCTAGGCAACCTTCATTACCAGTACAAAGTGCTCCGCTTTGGCCTCTCCACTGCCCCGAGAGTGTTTTCCAAGATTCTTGCTGTTGCAGTAGCATACCTTCACAGGCAGGGTGTCATCATCTTTACCTACCTAGACAACTGCCTTCTAAAAGCACCAACGCAGCAGTCAACTCCCCTCGAACCACTATAACTGTTTACAGACCTAGGGTTACAAATCAACCATCAAAAATCCACTCAGACACTGATCCAACAGTTGGAGTTCATAGGGGCGCACCTTGACTGCCGCACAGCAACAGCACGCCTACCACAGCAATGCTTCCTGACCTTAACAAACCTAATTGCAATTGTCAGACACAGCCCACAGACGTACGCCAGAATGTGCCTACAACTCCTTGGGCACATGGCTGTTACAACGTTTGTCATGAAACATGCCAGGCTCCACACGAGATGCCTGCAGGCCTGGGACCACACTGTATACATTCCATACAGACACTCCATCAACAGCCCTCTTACAATGCCCAACAGGGTAAAGGACTTGCTCCTATGGTGGACACAACGTATAAATGGTTGCTCAGGTGTCCCCTTCCAGCAAAAACCCCCAATGGTAACACTCACCACAGACACCTCTCTAGTGGGATGGGGAACACACCTGGAAGACAATACCATTCAAGGTCCTGGTCTCCAGAGGAATCCGATCTCCACATAAATCTACTGGGGCTAAGAGCGATCCGAAACACCTGCCAACACTTTCTCCCCCTAATCTGTGACAGGACTGTACAGATTCTTACGGACAACTTGGAGACTATGTTTTATGTAAATCACCAAGGAGGGTCCCGATCTTATCCCCTCTGTGCAGAAGTAGTCTGCCTCTGGCACTGGTGCATCTCCCACAACATACACCTCATAGCATCTTACCTGCCCGGATGGCAGAATGCAACAGCAGATGACCTAAGCAGGAACTTTGCACAAACCCACGAGAGGGCAATGGATCCCGGAATAATAACAACTATATTCAGATAATGGGGATTCTCCTCAATAGATCTCTTTGCAATGAAACACAAAAGTGCCCGTAATACTGTTCACGAGCCAGATTGGGCCACAACTCTCTGGGAGACGCGTTTCTTATGAACTGCGAGGCACCACTAATGTATGCCTTTCCCCCAATCCCTCTATTGCACCGTGTCCTACAAAAGATCAAGCAAGACAAGTCCGGAGTCAACCTTATTGCACCAACATGGCCTAGATAAACATGGTTTCCGTACCTGAAACAGATGGCTGTGAGACCACTGCAAACCCTTCCCCTTGTGCCTCATCTATTGACACAGGACGCAGGTCACCTTTGTCATCCCACCATCTCGGTACTCCATCTCAAGGCCTGGCTGATCCATGGCTGATGGGACTGGAGGCCCACTGTTCTAAGGAAGTAAAAGACATACTACTGAACGGTCAACAACTGACCACACAAAAGACATACACCCACAAGTGGAAACTATTCTGTATCTGGTGGCAGAACAAGCACATTACTCCACAGTCAACCCTGCTACCTATAATCCTTGACTATATACTGACTCCCCAAAAAATCGGGCCTATCTACTAGCTCACTGAGAGTACATCTAACAGTCATCACCACCTTCCACTCTAAGGTGGACGGAGTAACCCTCTTTGCTCACCCACTGACTAAATGCTTTCTCAGGGGCATAAAGAACACTACGGGACCCAAACCCACATGTGGGATCTCAATCTTGCTCTCCATGCCCTCATGGGCAAGCCCTTTGAACCACTAGCGATGTGTTCACTGTTGCATCTATCCATGAAGGTCGCTTTTCTCATGGCCATCACATCAGCAAGATGAATGGGAGAGCTGGGTGCCCTAATGGCACACCCACCTTATACCATATTCCTCAAAGACAAAGTAATCCTACGACCACCTCCCAAGTTCATACCCAAGGTTGCCTCCCCTTTCCACCTCAATCAGCCCATTTACTTACCTGTATTTTTCCCCAAACCCCATGCTGACAGCAGGAAGGCCTCCCTCCATACACTGGACGTCCGCAGAGCGCTAGCGTTCTATTTAGAAAGAATAAAAATGTTTAGAAAATCTTCTAGACTGTTCGTATCCACAACAGAACGTGCTCAGGGTCAAACGATCTCCAAGCAGAGGCTATCTAAATGGATATCTACATGTATCCAGTTATGTTACCAAAATTATAATATGGAAGCTCCTTCTGGATTTGGCATTCACTCCACTAGGACGCTATCCACATTGTAGCATTTCTCATGAGTATGCCCATTACGGACATTTGTAAAGCAGCTACCTGGGCATCAGCCCATACTTTTACCAAACATTATGCATTAGAACAACAATCAGGTGCAGACATGCAGTTTGGACTATTGCTCCTCTCCACTGTACATAAATCAACTCCGAAGCCCCTACCCTCCACTGAGGGGCACTGCTCTACAGACACCTAAAGTGAAGCATCCACAGGGACACTCCGCAAAGAAGAAGAGAAGGTTACTCAGGTTGTGCAATAACTGAGGTTCTTCAAGATGGTTGTCCCTGTGGGTACTCCACTACCCACTCCTTCCCCTCTACTTCAGAGTTTCACCTGGATTCTCTGGGGTAGAGAAGGAACTGGGGGACAGTTGGCTGCACACACAGGGTAGCTGCTCGGAGTGGCCAACTGGGGCATTGCTACTATAAACCTCCAAATAGAAGTGCAGGGCGCCGAGACATCTAAAGTGGAGCGCTGACAGAGACAACCATCTCGAAGAACCTCAGTTACTGCACAAGGTGAGTAACCTTCTCTTCTCAGCCAAAGCCAGGATGGAGTGAGGTGCCCTCATTTTGACTGATAGCCAAAACTGAGCCCATCAGCCTGGAAGTCTGGCCTCAGACTATCTACAATGGAACTGAGAATCAGACCTCTATCTATGCAAGTATAGGACGATGAGGATCATCAAACCTTTCTCTCTTAAGCTTTGCCCAGGATCTTCTACCACTGGGACTGCTGGAAAGGCTTACAGGTGCCTCCTGCCCCCATGAATGAAGAAGGCATCCCTCTGCAGCACAATGCTTTCTCAGAGCCATGAACAGACAACCAATAGCATTATATTCAGGTGAGCGACCAGTTTTAGTCTGCTGGCTGTGAGCTCTGGCACCTGTCAGATTTGATAGTACAGTGATCGTGCGGGGTGGTGGGCAGATACATTCACTCTGTCTCAGCTGACTGAGCTTCACTCAGTTCCCGATTTTGCCCCATCATGGTTGTGGGGTGGTTGCCACAAATGCTAGCCTCCCTAGTGACCAAAGGAAGCAAAGTTGTATGGAGGTGTTTTTCAGCAGTTGCACTTCCAAAGTGAATTAAGCTAAACCAAATTCAGGCCACTGTAATTCTGAATGCGAGTGTCCACACAGAGGTTTAATGCAGTTTAACTAATCAACTTTAATATATTTAGTTAATTTGGATTAAATTTCCTGGCTGTTCCCACGTAGACAATCTCTAAGTAAATTAGATAACTTATTCACTGTTGTTATGCTATTACAGGAGCCAAAGTACCCAGAGGATATATTGCAAGGCAGCATTCATGGCATACTTGAGGAATACCTGTCACTGAGCTTTGTACTGCTGCCACCTGGAACTCCAGTCATGTTTTCACTCAGAACTACTGTATTTAGGAGCCAGGGCTGATGCCCAGTTTGGGAGGACAGGCTATAATTAGTACCTGTTTGATCCTTTTGCAGGGGATTATTACTGCTACCTCCTGAGTGTGTGGCTATACAGAGGCAGTTATCTAGGGCAAAAAGATTACTTGCCTATAACTGCCGTTTTCAATCTATATACGTGTTTATGTATATTATAGGTGACACTGGCAGTGCTGCTTATTAAAGTTGTCCAACATTTACCATGATAAGACCCTGTTTTCAGTTGCTTCTAATTTTGCCACACTTCAACCATTTGAAGGAAATGTTCCATGCCAGACCTCTGCCTCAGGCTAAATTTGGTTTGTTTTTATGCACTTGCTTTTATGCACTTGCTCTACAGATGGCGCTCTAAGAGTTGAATTATTGTATTTTCCTGAGTAGCACTGCGTAGCTGCCACATCATGGCTCAAAGCGTTTACAAGCAAAATATGGGAAACGGGTTCACCAACTTACGAATGTAGTCCTACGTTCTTATGTGCCATCTCGCTGAGAGACTGATCTACAATTCCATCCCCTCTGTGGGGAGAGATAGCATTCACAGTGAATAGCCACTGAAAAGAGCATGCAAAATGCTACCTTCATCTGTAATGGAAATTAAGTATAAGATTGTTCTCATAAATAAAGGTTTCACTCAGTGGCAATGACTCACAGGCCATCAGGATACCTTGCTCACAGCAGGGAGAAAGAATGGGCATGAAAAAGAAATTATTATACACTATAATAGCAAAAATAGATACTGTGATTTTAAAAAAAATCAGTCCTCCACTGCTGGTTCATTCACGTCGTGAGGGTGTTTATACTGAAGCCAACCACCTGTGACAATCTGGTCCTTGTAGCTGAAACAGGCAAGAGGTTCTCTGTCCCTGAGGCAAAAATGACCAAAGAAACCCCACAAAAGAGCCATTCCAATATGCTGCATTTTGATGGCAAATGAAAAACTGGTACCTAGAACATTCAAACATTGTGCAAAACAGCTAATGCGGTCCTCCTCATGAAGCAGTTGAAAAGCCTGAACATTGATAAGTGCGCTGGCCAGGACGTGGTGAAAAGAAAATTGAAGACCATACATTTTTGTTCTCAGGCCATCCCAGTGAGTTACTCCAGCAATAGGTAGCCATTGTACTTTCACCCAATTCCCAATGGGCATTGCAGGGTTGGTGGGTGATTAGCGTCTGATTCCATACTGGCTGTGAGCATCTTACCATCTTTGCAGTTTATGGTCCCACCACCACCAAAGCCAAATTGGGCAGCTGCAGATACTTTTTGCCAGCAACTGTAGTCAAGTCCTTAATGATATTCTGAGAAGAGAGGTCATCATGATCCTGGGTGACTTCAGTGTGCAAGTAGGAAAGGATAATGACAACAGAGCAAGTCCTCTCAGGAAGTTTGGTAGTGGGCAGAAGTACAGGAATAGGCAGCAGTTGCTGGAATTTGCAGCTGACAATGACATGGTGATCACTGATTCACTCTTTCACCACCCAACGATTCACAAGCAGATGGTTTCACCAGGGCTGTTATTGATTGTGCCCTGGTTAACAATCATTGGTGATCAATGGTCAGGGATGTAAGAGTTTGCGGAGATGCTGAACTTGCCCCTGACCACCAGCTTCTGCTGACAAAAGTGTACCTCTGACTTTGAAGACAGGCAATTAATGGGCCAAAATTACAGTGATTCAACCAAAGGCTCTTATTACAGCCAACCTATCAGGTGGCTTGCTGTTCTGGACTGCTTACGGCCATTGAATCATTAGTGACTGAAGTCACTCCCTCTATCTTCTGCTGAGGAATGGTGGTATTTCAAGTGATCAGTGCTGACCACTGCCAGCTCAGTGCTGAGGCCTTAGCCCTTCAAATGTCATCCATGATTCAGTGAAGAGGTGGTCACAGCTAACAAAAAAGCCGGGCTACAATTAGAGTATTCAAAGACATGTTTGTCATGAGCAAAAGCAAAGGCTGGATGAGTTTGATTTCAGAACATCATCAAGTAATTGCATAAGAAAGATAAGAAATTCTGGTGGCCGACACAGGCAGCCAATTTAGACTTGGCTTCCATCAGGCACAGTCTCCGTACCTTTTATGCAACTTCGCGGTGTTTGTAGGGACAGGTGGTTGCATTGATGGGAAGATCATTTCAAGAGACTCCTCAATTGTTGCTTGCCACAGTTCCTCTTCCATTTGAAAAGGTCAGGAAATTCTGGTAGAGCCACCTTCCTTCAGCTTAAGGACTGCAATCTGGATTTCTTCCTGGTTGAAGTCTGGGAAGGCGCCAGAGGTTGTAACACTTGCTGCACTCAAGTGAGAGTATTGTATCATGGTTGCACAGGATCTTCCAGACCATCTGGCATACTAATACCATCCTCAATGACTGGAAGAAGGTTATTCAGCCTCTGTTCAAAAAGGGCAATAAGGCTGAATGTATCGACTATAGAGGTATTACGCTATTGTCAGTCCCAGGGAAAGTCCTTGCTTCCGTGTTAAATTCTCTTATAAACAAAGCACTTCATGGCAAAGGCCAGGATATTGAGTGTGGCTTCAGACCTGGTTGTTCCACTATTGACCAGATCATCACCTTTAGATAGCTTTTCAAGAAGATGGCCGACTTTAATAAGACCTGCTCACCACTTTTGAAAGACTTCTATCAAGTTTTTGATTCAGGGCATTGAGCAAGGTTGTTGGAGCCGATGAGGTGACGCAGCAGCCCTGGCAAGATAGTGTCGAGGTTAGAAGAGCTCTATCATGGAACAGAACGCTGTGTTCAAGTCAATGGCAGATACATGGTGTGGTTTCCCACCTCCTCAGGAGTGCCTCAAGGCTGTGTTCTGTTACCATCATGGTTCACTATCAGCATTGATTGGTTGATGGATAAGCTCGAAGCTGCGAGCTGAACACTATTCTGCTTCAAGATCTTGAATATGCCAATGACATCGCCTTGTTGGCTCAGTTCGGTGAATAGCTGCAGCTGATGGCTGATCTGGTTGGGCAAGAAGTAGTTCATGTTGGTCCAGATATTTGTCCAGATAAAACTAAATCCTTGGCCATTACCTTCAAGTAGCCTCCACCTCCAGATTACATCCAGCTCAGTATTAACCTGTCGGGATGGAACACTGAGCTGGTGGCCGCTGTCAGATATTTGGGCAGCATCATAGATGGTGCTGGAAGATGCTTGAAAGATGTGTCCACACGAATAGCAATAGCTGCTGCCTTGTTTCAGGCCCTTCAGCAGCCCCTGTGGGGATGTCATGACATCAAGCTTTCTACAAAGCTGTGGCTCTATAGACCCACAGTTATGCCAACTCTATCGTATGGAGGTGAAATGTGGGAGCTAGGGAAAGCTGAAGAACACCGGATTGACATTTTCAGTTCT